ATATAAAAACTTACCAACAAAAAACTTTATTTAGCAGTAACCTAAAAATCAAAAGAATTTTATCTGTCATTTTGGCCAAATTAACGCCAAATATCTAGGAGTCAAACACGATCGTTCATTCATCAAGAACTAATAGTAACTTAAACCATAAGAACCAGAGCCTGTTTTGTTTTTATCCAGTACCTACTTCAATTCCAAAGTTMAATTAATGGTGCTACTCAAAAGAGTGATCATATAACTATGTTTGTGGAATGTATCACTTCTATCATACCTATTATCTATTTATTATATAGGTAATTATACTACTTATATAAACTTACTAAAACATTGATTGTATATTTTCTGTTTAATCGGACAAATACCCACTCCTTTAACGTTATATTCTTTTAAGTATGTATCGAATTTCTCAACAAGATTTTTCACGTCCCTATTAGTAGCTGGTTGGATTGATATTTGTTGTGAAAATGTTTTACCATCCACTTCCCATTCCTTTGGAGGTAATATACTATTCAAAACTGTTGTACAATTAAATTGTTTAGACTCGTCCACAAAGTCTCCAGAGTCCATCGAGTGAAAATTTTTTTCCATAGAATATTTGTCCTGTAAAAATAAAATCTTCTAATTTATTTATAACATTTCAACTATCTTTAATATATTTATATAATTAAATATAAAGCCGGACGCATGCTAATGCAGTTAAAAAAATTATCATAACCTTCTCCAATKCATGCTTATTAATTATTACAATAACCTGGTCACCTGTTTCACTATCAGCTCTGGTGTACACCTGGYCTATGGTCAATTTTCGAATTTAAAAGAAAAATCTCAAATTCTATTCCAAAATAATTCATTCGAATTCTGAATGATTATTATGTAATTTGTAATTTAATCAACGATCATTAATACATTTTATAAAAATATTGCGATAGAAGTTTAAATAGGTTCTTATAGTGAAAAAATCTGTCTYAAAACGCTTGGCAGACGTGAAACATCGAAATTGGAGGTTATTAGTTAAAAACTAAAATATAAATATATATTTTTT